GGGCAGCTGGGGCCTGGGCTGGGGGAGGGCAGAGCCGGGCAGCTGCTGGGGAGTCGGATCAGCTCTCACTGGTCAAACAGGCACAGGAGCCCGGCCAGCGTGACTCATGGCTGAGCAGTGACCTGGGAACCAGGAGGTCACGTCCGGTTCCCAGTCGGGGCACATGCTTGGAAAATAGTCCCAGGACAGGTTCCAGCCGCTTCGGGAAGACCCGCATCTGTCCTTTCCTCCCAGCGCCTCCTCATCACCTGTTTCTCCTTCTCAGTCTGGGAGACCAGTGGTTTGCAGTGACATCCTCTAAGTTTTTTCCAGCAGTTTCTGCGTGCTAGGCCCGTGGTGAGAACTTGGCATGCGTTACTTTGTTCAAGCCTCAGTCCCATCCATAAAGTAGGTACTGGGGGAGGGGGGTTGGCCCATTTTACAGATTAGGAAACTGAGGCCCAGAGGGCTTAAGCAACCCAAAGTCCCACAGTTAGGAGGAAGTGGAGAGGCTCTGAACGCCAAGGCCAGCATGCCTCCCCGCTCTTGCCCCTGTGTGCACACGCGGTTTAATGTCTCCCAGTTTTGAGGAGCGTTGGGAAGAGAGGGGGAGCTGGTGAGGGGCTCCCCGAGAGCCCAGCCGTCTCGGTCCCCATTGTCTTCCCCTCAAGCTTTTGACGCCACGGACCCCGCACGCCTCCTGACCTCTGGCTCCCAGGACACACGGCCGGGCGCCGGGAGCTGGCGGCGTTTTCTCCTTCAGGCAGCAATTAGGGTTAATTATTAGCAATTAGGGGCTCACCGCCTGCTCTGTGGACCTGCTGTCCTTTCCCAGGTCCCCTGTCTTTCTCTGTGTCAGCAGCTGGGCCCATCTGCCCCTCGGGTCCCCCGTCAATCACCGTGGCTGAGTCCCCACAAAGCTGGCAGCGGGCCGTTCTGACCGAGGGCTGCTGGCCGGGCGCGGTGACCACGGGCCATTCTCGGCTCAGCACCTGCTCGGACCCTCACCCCTGGCCCCCGGATGGGACGGCATTTCTCTGGGCTCCCGGAGCTCCGCCGGCTCACCTGTCCCTCTCCTCCCAGGCGCTACTACAAGGAGACCTCGGGCCTGATGCTGGACGTCGGCGGCTACATGAAGGCGCTCGAGGTACCTGCCCGGAGCCCTCCTCGCGCTCCAGGCTTCCT